TAAGGTCCCTTCCCACCCAAGCCATTCTATGGTTCTATGATCTATGAAAAAGGAGATGGGAAAGATGTGGCAGCTGGGACCCAAGGAGACGCTTCCTCCAGCCTGTTTGCCCTGCGCTCACTCTGTTCTCTGCCTTCCCCCACTTGCCTCATCTCAACACCCAGGTTTGCACACTGCAGGGGTGCGGGTATTTATGTGCACAGGCATAAAACTCGCCCCGTTACAGCAAAAGACCAGTACATGCCAGAGGCCAGAGGCAGCTGGGCATGACTGCCAACACGCAGCTCCTTCTCTCCTCCCTTCACCTTCTTCTCTTCACGCCTGAGCTGTTCCCTGCCTCTCCAAACAGGCCACAGCTTCCTTGGGAAGCAAAGGTCACACTGACTGCAAGCTGGCTGTGACCAGCCAAAGCAAGGCTGGCAGATAGGATCTGCATCCCACCTTTAATCCAGAGAGTCGAGATGGAGCGATAGCCGCAGCCTGCACATAAACACACGCTTCGACACTGCCAGCTAAAACCAGACAGGGCCTGCTGAGGAGACAGCAGCTCCCTGTGCAGGCTCAGGACAGGGAGGTCCTTTGCCCCTCCACATCCCTGTGTCTGCAGGACTCCTCCACCCCGGCTGCACCTTCTGCACTGCTCTACCAAGAGCATCTAACCCCAACCACAGCCACTGAAGGCTTGAGCAGACTGCTGGAGGCTCTTCTGAAAGAGCTCAAGACAGAGAGCCAAGCCCATGGAAGTCCTTCAGCCAAATTTAAGATCAAGCCACTTTAGCCCTTTGAATGCAGGTAACTATGCATCTGAACTCGTGTGGTTAAGAAGCAGCCCTCTCCTGCCTGCCTGAGGCCTGAGGAAATTTATTCAAAAGCAGAACCTCTAAAAAAAATCTCTTGCACAGACTCTTCACAGCCTGATAGCTCAAAAAAGAAAAAAGAAAAAAAAGTCACTCTCACTCTGCCTAGCTCTGGTGCCCTGACTCTGCAGAGCTGGCTGACTCCAAGAGCACTATCTTTACTTTCCAGCAGATGCAACTAGTTCTTGGGCACATTCACTCAATCACCACTCCAGGAAAGAAAATAAGAGAGAAAGCAAATTTTTTTTTAAATCTACTCTAAGAGAAAAATACTCTCTCCTCTTTGGTTGAAGAAAGCCAGCCTAAGCTGGAGATCCTGACTCAAGACAGCCGTAGTCATGTTAGGAATAAATAGGGAAGTGAACATCTCTTCCCCTTCCCAGAGACTCATTTACCTTATACAGTGTGTTTCGAATGATTTCGATGTTCATTTCGTCCAGGTCCTGTTCAGATATGCAGTCTTGGAAGAAAGCAGCTGAAACAGAGCCAAAGACAGAGTTAGCATTGCCCTAACCAGACCCGTGCCCAGCACTTTCCAGAGTCTTCAACAATACCAGGCAGCAGCACACCCTGTGTTAAGCTTGTCCCTCCTAGGCCTGGTTTTTATCTTCAGCAGCCACCAAATTGCCATGACTCAAAACCTCAGGCTCCACCATGGCTCCCCAGGCCACAGTCATTTTTGGGGCTCTCACACCAGCCTATTCTCAGCAGAAATTCTCAGCTCTAGCCCCCTGCCAGAGCACCCTGGATCTAAAAATAAGCAAAACCCAAACTGTTCCCAGCTGCAGGCACTCAAGAGGTGACAAGACAGCTTCTGAATTGCCTGCTACAGCACGGCAGCAGCGCCTGAGCATCTGTGAGACACCGGCCAGTGAGTCCTGAGGAAACCGGTGCTGTGCTTCTCCCTTATCCTCCAATTTCTTAGCTGGATTAAGAAGGCAGAGGGACGTCACAGCTCCTCCATGGTTGCAGTCAGGAGCTTTTTACCCTGCTCAGGTCTATCAGTTCCATTTCCCACTTCTTCCAAGGTCTTTTATTTCTCCAGCTGCAGGTGAGCAACACGAGACAGGATCAACAAGTGTTATTTTGGAAGGAAGCTTGGCCCTACGTACTTTGCCAGAGTAGCTCTGGGAGGGAGTTTAAGGTGTTGCCACCAAGAGAACACAGATTTCAGACCCAGCGCAGGGTACTGCAAGATGCAGATAGAGATGAGCCTTGTACGTAAGGCTGTGGTACCACTCACTCATTAGCAAGAGCACAATAAAACCCAGTGACAGGATTTTTATGACTTTTTCAACTCTCACTCAGCAACCAATTTTGCTGAATTTGCTACAGAGAGAAATATGATCTTTCTCATCTTCTGCAGACCAGCTGTGGGTAAAGGACACTGCACTTGTGCTGAGAACTGCCCGGTGCTCTGCTTTGTGCCACAAACCAGGTACAATGCAGGCTCACACCTCTGGCGTGCACCAGTGTTACAGAACAAGCTCCCTGGCATGGACAGCAGCCACACAGCGGGTCTACAGAGTCCTGAGCAGGGGTTAATCCCTCCAGAGGTTTTTTTGCAACAGCATCAGAGACCAATGCCACGTAGCTGGAGGAGCACTGTTCCCTATGGCTGGCAAAAATGAAAACAGAGTGTGCCAGGACTGGTTTTCGCTGCAGGACTCGCTGGCTAGCTTGGACAGCTAAGCAGTGGCTACTTCAGAGTAGCAGAGGAATGAGAACACAGCTATTTCAGTTCTTGGCCCTCCAATATCCCAAATTAGGCTACCAGCAAGTCTTATTTTGCCCTGCTAACCTATGAGAGCCATTTGGGGTTAGGCATTCCTACCAAGCCACGTAGCTACTCAAGTACTTTTAGGAGATAGAGCTGCTGTTTCTTTGCGTGTGGTCACTGGAAAGAGCACAAGCTAAACAACTGGAGCTGGCATGCCTGCTTGTTTAGGCAACACAGCTACTCCCCGCGTTCTCCTGCT